GGAAGTCCCTTTTTAGGGCCAAAAATTGACAACAATGGTTTGTGGTCTGTTACTAGTGTGAATTTTCTACCAAACAAATACTGATTAAATCTTTTAACAGCAAACACAATAGCTAAAGCTTCTTTGTCTATTACAGAGTAGTTTGATTCGGCTTTAGAAAATGTCCTTGACGCAAAACAAATGGGTTTTTCGGATCCATCTGATTGCATTTGACTTAACACACTTCCGACCCCGTAGGCTGAACTATCAGTAGCTAACCTCAAAGGTAAATTTGGGTCATAATGCGCCAAAATAGGAGCTGAAACTAATTTGCTCTTAATTAATTGAAACGCTTTGTCACATGATAAATTCCATTCAAATGGAGTGTCCTTTCTGAGTAAATGATACAATGGGGATACAATGGGAGACATACTTGGCACAAATTTAGAATAATAATTAAATAAACCTAGAAAAGCTTTTAACTGAGTTACATTGGTAGGCACTGGGGCGTTAACAATAATTACAATAGCTTCAATTTTACTAGGAGATGTGCCTAGTCCTTGTTTACTTAAAATGTACCCTAAATACTCAACAGATTTACAGAAAAACTGACATTTATTTTGACTTACTGTTAAACCATGATTCTTTAAAGTTTCACACACTTGAATCAACCTCTCTAGGTGCTGTTTGTCATCAGTTCCTGTTACCAAAATATCGTCTAGGAAGCAAACAACGCCGGGAATGTGAGCTAAAATGCGTTCCATTATACTCTAAAATATTCCCGGGGCGGATGCTACACCATATGGAACTCGGTTGTAAATATACAATCCTTTCGATGTACTTATTGTACAATACTTCTTTGAGTCCTCGTCTAACTTTACCTGAGTGTAAGCCTGAGAAAGATCGATTTTTGAAAATGTCTCCCCTTTTTGTAAATTATTAAAAATGTCCTCAATCCTTGGAATCGGGTGGCGATTGACTACTAAATAGGGGTTGAGCGTTACTTTAAAATCGCCACATATTCTTATACTTCCGTCCTTTTTCAAAATAGGCACAATTGGAGTTCCCCATTCACTATTGCTAACTTGAGTTAAAATCCCATTATTTACTAATCGATCAATCTCAGACTCCACTTTACTTTTGATCGAAAATGGTATAGGTCTGGGCTTGAAAAACTTAGGAATTACATTTTCCTTCAACTCTAATCTAGCTGCATCTCCCTTGTAACAACCTAATGCATCAGTAAATACCTCAGGAAATTTACTGTACAGTTTACTGACAATAACTGGTTTTTGATCTAGCTTTTCAACCGTGTTCAAACTATTTTCTTTAGGGATTCGGATCGATATTTCTAGTTCCCTAATCCAGTCTCTTCCCATTAGAGGATTAGCCCCTTTAGACACAACATACAATGTCAACTTTTTATGCTCAGATTCATGCTGTACATTTACGTCAAGTTTTCCTACAGGTTTTATTGGCTGGTTTGTATAGGAGCTCAAAACCAAATTAGTGGGCATTAATTCGAGATCAGAGAAATTATCGTTATAACACTTTTCAGAAATTACTGACACGCAAGCTCCACTGTCAACCTCAAATGGCAATACAGTATGTTCTACTTTAAGATTAACCGTAATAGGTTTTATTCTATCCCTCTGTTTAGTTTCCTCATCATTTATGGAAAATAAGTTAGCTAAATCACTATAATCATCGTCATTGTCATTGACCCCTGTGTTCTCTACATAGTTTTACTTATACTTATGAGACTTGTTACCAGAGGTAAACTTAGGTGTAAAGTTCTTTTGTCCATCCTTACGCTTATCATTAAATGCAAATTTAGATTGTGACTCACCATTGTTTTTCTTCATCAGACACTTTCAGGCACTTTCTAAATGGCCTTTCCTCTTACAAAAATTGCAAGATAAACTTTTAAAACGGCACTCACTTTTTAAATGACCAGATTTACCACAACAATAGCACTTTACTTCACTTTTTGAGCGCTGCCACGGCTTCCGCTTCTGCTGCTGCTTCGAAGCGACGTTGTGGAGACGACTTCCTCCCCCCGTGTTGTGGTAGGTCAGGGCCGCGGTGTCTCTCGCTGCCAACTCCATTGACGTGGCTATTTGGACCGTCTTCTTGTAGGTGAGATCTTCCTCGCCCAGCAACCTCTTTTTGGTGGCGTCGTCCCTCAACCCACTTACGATCCTGTCCCGAAGATGATCCGGTAGTTTGTCCTTAAACTCGCAGTTGACAGAGAGTTTCTTCAGGTTGACGATGTAATCAGCGACTGATTCATGCTCTAATTGTGTTCGGAGATTAAACTTGTACCTTTCGGCAATAAAAGATGGTTTTGGATGAAGATGTCCCTTAATGATCCGTACAATATCCTCGTAGCTCTTAGTAGCAGGTTTGTCTGGTGTACATAGGTCTTTTAACAGGTTATAAGTTTTCACTCCGACAACCGTCAAAAGCGTACTAACCTTTTTAGCGTTGGTAATATCGTTACATGTAACAAACAACTCAAAACGCTCGATATACGATTACGTTTTCTTCTTTACGTTTCTTCTGAATTATCAAAAGGACCGATTGCACCGATGAACGACATCTTGAAATTTAATAAAGTTCCAAAGTTATCAATAAGGTTCTCATCAAGCGGCATTAATGTTCACACTCACACGCACCGTTCGAAGTTAACTTGACCGAATTCTTCTGTAAACACACGTACCTTCCTACGGTGCACTAGAAATTCAATTGTCACTTTTAAAACACACGTACCTTCCTACGGTGCACTTCGATTGTCAATTAAATTACTTAAAAACTTTTCACGCGTTGAGTCGTTTTCGTAATTCGTCGCCACTGGAACGTTTGGGGTGCAATGACTTGAAATAAAAACAACATTTGGGGAATTAAATAAAACCCGGCCGACTACATGGTTACGGTTTGCTGGAATCTTGAGGACTGGAGAGCAAGGAAACTTTTGGATCGGCGGTTAAACGTGGAGGGAAAAGTGGCGTGATGGGTTGTAGCCAATCCGGGAGCATTATTGAAATCATACGATATGACGTCACAGTCGCCTGATCGCAGTCAGGACACAAATGCAAAACATATTGCCAACTCTTTATAACACAAATCTAAATATTGTAAAAATGGCAACAATATGGTACATTATTATTGTATACACTACACTTCAAACAACTATATTGTGGAAATATTAATAAAAACCACAATTTTTATACGTCTTTGGAAAATTTATTTATTTTGATGGTCTGTATTTTGACCATTATTTACTCTACATACTTGCTGTTGGGCTTAAACTGTCACAAATTTATTCTTCTTTAATGTAATAGTATAAAATTTTCGGTAAAATCAACGGTTCGCGAAATTGAGTGAAAAACAATAGGAATTGCCATATTTTTGATATTTTGATAACAAGTGGCGCAGTATCTCGAGGTGGATAACTTGGATTTTATGTTATGGGCCCAATACAAACAACATATCCAAAAATCAGAACTACCCGACCTTTTGCACAGCAACCCCATATTTTCTGACAGATTTACTGGACTATTATTGCATTAGTCAAATTTGAAAGACAAAATGTATTTATGACGTAAAATTACATTTAGTGTAAAATGACAAACAATGTTTGAGCTTTTTTGAAATTATATACATTTTTGCGCTTCATTTGTAGGATGCGCTTCCATGTATGTAGGTAATAAACTATTAGATGCCAAGTGGTTTTTAATTTTTTTTACCAGTGACCACTCGTTTATCAATACAGATACATAAAATAATGCTAAAGTTATGCCTTACGGAGTGTGGAGCTTTTAAACAAATTTCAGAAAATAAAAATTTCTAAATGAATTTATTTTGGAAGATCTGATTTTGTTTTCATCCTTTAAAGTCTCTTTTACCCAAACAAAATGGAACAATTTACATCTCTGAGCAACATTGACGGTTTAAGACTTTCAAAACAATGTATCAGATAAAAAACCAATAAAATATTTAGAGTGGTAAAATGACCACCAAAACCTGATCTTTTTCATGTATTAATATTGTAATATCTACCAATTATGATTTTCTTACGTTAAATTATTTTGCTAGGCTAATTGGAGTTCTTCAAAAAATGTCAAGATTTAGTCCCATATAAGACAATTTTAGCGAATTTCCCTATAGGGAAGTAGCTATTACCGTAGGTGGCACGGTAAGACCTAGACCCGGGACCGATTTACTTTTTCATTTTGATGTCCCCAGAGGCCAAAAACACTATTCGTTCAAATTTTTATATATGTATATATATATATATATATATATATAGACTTATGTATATATATATATATAGACATATATATATATATACGTCCGTGAACGCGATAACTTGAGTAATTTTTGTCCGATTTTGATGAAATTTGGTTTAAAGGTGTAAAGCGGGATAAACTTGAATGAGTTCGCGAACCAGCATGATCGGACCATGGGAACGGGGCTTTACGGGGGGTTTTATGGGGTAAAAATTGGTTTTTCTCACTTTTGACCCTCAAAACACAAAATTTCCCAATTTCTCTTTTGACCTTTTTAAAGAGCTTAAAAAAAAAAAATAATTTAGTATATGAAAGTATTTTTGTTTGATTATTAGTAACGGAGAAAATTAAAAAAATTGTAAATTTAAAATTCCCATGTTATTCTTATGGAGAATATTGTCAAACGTTGTAGTTTGCTTGTTTATGAATATATTTTGATCAAACTTGGCAAATTTATTTATTTTCTACTAAGCTATCAATATTTTACTCAAAAACACACTTTATTAGTTTCCTTGTAGCAGCAAACCTAGGTACTCATTAAACCTAATGTTATTAAAATATATTTAACTGAAAATCAATTCAGACAAATGGAAATTCGCTTAGTCGGCAGGTTTGCTGCGGCGGGGGTATTTTAAGATTCCAGGCAGGAAGTAAATGTAAGTTTCTATTTTTTTATTATCATGTTGACTCTTAAAAATATCTTGAAATAAAAATATATTGAGATATTACCTTGATTTCTAAGAATATCTTTGACTCGATAACTGATAAACTTGGTGTCCATGATAGAAGGAAACAGAGCATTTAGTTCCTTCTTGAAGACTTTATATGTACCTGTGATCAAACAACAGTATTCATCAGACAGACAAGGTAACTAAAAATATCATTGTAACCTCAATTACAATTATTTTTACTTTAATTTCTTATTTTACTAAAAGAGTGTTAGCAAGTGTTAACTCGAGTATGTACTGTTGCTGGATGTTGAAATAATGAATTTAAGATTTTTCAAATCTAAGGATTTACTTTATTAAAAACCAACATTATTATAAAACAGAACAACAACAGATTAACAAGTTAAATTATTGAATAGAAACCAGGACAGCTGATCAGAGTATAAATAAAGGAGAGTAGAAAACATCACAATCTCCCTTGGTTAAAATTGTGTGCATAGTCTAGTCTAGTCTTTAACGTATTTTGGAAGTCTTTTCTCCCTGATTGCTAAGTTTGTGGTAAATTTGATACACTTTCACTATAGGTCAGCCGCTTAGAAAGCGTCCTACTCGTAGCATTGGTGCGAGAGAGAGATACCGAGCTATGGGAGTGAGACAGAATATGGCTCTTCCCCCACTCCACTGCCACCCCACCACCACCCTTTATTTTATTTTACATTTTATTTTACCAAATCATATGTTTTCTTATAATTTTCCAAAGACTTTTGAATGACAATCATTAGGAATCAGCATTTAATATATAACACTATTATTTAGTTTTATATATCCAAAATAGCGTTGTATTCAACACTGAATGAATATTCTGTAGTAGTGTTATACAATATAACACTACTATTTAACCGAAAAAAAAGTAAAGCAGTAAATACTTGATTGGCTGATTGGAGGAGTGGGGGATGTGTGTGCACACACCTTCTTTTATACGCCTTGCCATCCCGGGTCCAGAGGTATTTACCATGAGTACTACGATGATAGCTTATACCCTATATAGGAAATTCACTAAAAGGCCGTCACTAAGATGTGTGATCGTTACTTGCGATGGTGGCAACACCATTATAGGCTAATTGCAGTCGCGTTATTTGCGTCTTACCACAGCCACCTCTAATACATTACCTCTAATGTAATACAATACCTCTAATACATACTCTAATACATACTCTAATACATACTAATTACCTCTAATACAATACCTCTAATGTATTAGAGGTGGCTGTGGTCTTACACAATCGTGGCAACATCCGCGATAATCTCCTGCGATTATCTCAGCTTCCATGACTCTTTGTGATTGCGGCTATATCTTAATCGCGGCGAGATTCGTGATGATTGTCCGTTTATGGGCTGTTTTATGGGGTAAAAATAGGGTTTTCCCATTTTTGACCCTAAAAACGCAGAATTTCACAATTTCTTTCTAAACCATTCTGTAGAGCTTAAAAAACAAATAATTTAGTATATTGAAGCGTTATTATGCGCCTAATGGTTACGAGAAAAATTTAAAAAAGTTGTAATTTTAAAATTCACATGTTATTCTTATCGAGAATAAGTCAACTGTTGTAGTTTACTTGTTTATGAACTAATTTTGATCAAATTTGGAAAAAAACATTAATTTCTTACTAAACTACAGTACCTTTTAACATTTTACATAAAAAACACAATTTTTTACCCTTCCTTGTTTCAGCAAACCTACTCGTTAAACTAATTCAATTTAAATAGGGAATAAATGTGATATTGTTAAGGAGACATTTTAGTGTAAGTTCAATCGGGCAAATGGAAATTCGCTAAGTCTGCAGGCTTGCCGCGGCGGGGGTATTTTATTGTTAGTTCTGTACGTCCAACTGTAGAGGTTATGTTTTGTTTACATTTTGTTTCTTGTTATTTCAGTAATTTAAAACCTCATTTCGGCCTTTATTGAAAAAACCACCTCAAAATTTCTAAAATCTTTAAACAATGTTCCTGGTGCATTAACTTTTCATCTTGGTGAAGCAACTGAGAACAGGAGGCTACGTCGAAGGCTCCCTCAAGATCTATTGGATGAATGAAGCCTAAAGACGATTAAATTATTCTCTAAATTAATTATGTTACAGGGTGACTCAGGTTTGGGCGAACCCACGATGTTATTATAGTTAATTTCTTATTAATTTTGTAAACACTTCTGTGTATAATGTCTACATTGAACCAGAAATAAATGCTGTAAAAAAACCTCATTTAACCAAATAAAACGATTTAATCATAAACAATAACTGGTCTTCTAGTTATATTACCATATAGTAAAGCACAAATCATGAAAATAACCCTAAAATAATAGAAACAAAATGTTGTCTACCCCAGCGATCAGTGTGGACGTACATGAACTAGACACGAAAACAAAGCTACAATATTTACAATGGGATGAGGAGTCTACTTGTTTCGCTTAGTCTATGTTGCAACTCAGTGGCAGTTCCGTGCTTTTATTTATTAATTCTGCATGGAGAGGTTCTGTCGTGATTATCTGTATGGATAAACACCATTAAACAGATAATTATTCTAACTAATCTGTAGGGATGAAAATTAACCTCAAAATTCGTGTAACTGAGCAGTCAGACATGTTCGGCAAGCCGCTTGTTTTCGGGTGGGCCTGCGAGGACTGTTTTCCACAGCAGTATGAACTCTGTCGAATGTTCGTTGTCTGGCATCCGATCTGACTTTGGTCGGCCTTTCAGCTTCCTTTTCAACGCAGAAGCCGTTGTTCTAAAGTTAGTAACCCACCACATTATTGTTATACGCAACGGAACATCTCCATGTCGCCTTAATTGAAAGAATGCACGACACTGCTTATGCTGCTGAGTTGCAATGAATGAATTCAATACTTTTTAAAAACGACTCCATAACAACCGCACGTAGCTCAGGCGACCACTGCTCTATGACTAGAAAAAATGGTATTGTGTAGGCTTTCCAATGAGCATACTCACACCACTTTCAGACAACCTGTCGCTGAACAGTGCTCTGCAGAAAATGGTTCGTTTTTTTGCCGCACCCTGTACTGTATAACACTATGACTATATTCAATATTGAATACAACACTATATTGGATATAAAACGCTTAATAGTGTTGTATATTCAATGCTAACTCGTAATGATTGTCATTCGAAAGTCTTTGGGAAATTACAAGAAAACATATGATTTGGTGAAATAAAACACGTTCAGCTTGCACGTGACGTCACTATCCACACACCTTGTGAAAAAGGCCATTGGCGGAGAGGGGGAACGTACCCTCCCTCTCCGTTACCTCCCCTACATGCGCTAAAAATTTCGCGCAGGTCGTTTTCTAAACGGCCGACCTATAGTTTCCAAATCATCATACCACACATCCCATCCAGGAGCCAAATGCTTTGAAGACACGTTCGATTCTTGTCCATTATAATTCCGAACAGGAGCATACTGAGGGTTGGCTTCGATAATCTCTACTTCTTCCACTTTCTCGTCGTACTTGCTTGACTGATTATGGCGTGTTAGTAGAGCTGGTCCAGGAAAACGTAGCCAGGTGGGCGGGCAAAGCAGTTCCATTGCTTGACCTTCTAGAGTGCATAAAAAGCCTTCGTGTGGAATTGCATTGGTAGCCGTACACAGGAAAGATCTAATAGCATTCAGCGCATCATTGAGAACACTCTCCCAATGCCTACTTAGTAGATTTTTGTGTTAAGTGCAAGAGTTATTGTTCTCCAAAGTATTACGTTGAAGCGCTAGTTTCCTTCTGGATTGTAAGGTGTTGTTTTACTTGGGGCGATACCTTGAAAATGCAAAAACAATACCTAATTCTTGGTATGAAAAAGAAGATCCTCTGTCAGAGTGCATGTAACTTGGAATGCCAAACATTGAAAACAGATTATTAAGACTAAAAATATAAAATAAAATATTTCACGCTCTCATAACGTTGTAAATTAAACGTTGTAAATGTAGGATTAAGACTACGTATACAATATAAAAATTATACTTTTTTTAAATAAGCCGAATATAAAAAAATTTATTTTTTACATTTCCAGGAATTGCAATATTTTGTTCCAAAAAGTTACTGGTGCTGTGAACACTTATCGTTCGAACGCCATATTATAAAGCATATATTCATTAGTTTATTGAATGCAAAAAATTATTATTTTTATTTATCATTTATTTATATTTTTTATTAATTATTTTTCCTACAAAAAAAACAATCCTAACTTAACGGAACGAGCCTGCTGGAGGCCACAGCATTCGGCGACGTAATGCGTTTTGGATGTCTGCCTGCAGTGTAGATTCCCAACATTTAAATACGAGGGAACTGAAGTTTCGGACGGTTTCGTTTTATATTTAAGTAATATTAGGGATGGACGGGTCTCGAAATTTTGAGACATATTCAGGAACTTTTCAATCTCGCTCTACGAGACAAGATTTTGTTTTGATCAAGAAATTTTTGAGACGGGAAATTTTATTTTTTTGTAAACAACATGGTATAACCTAGGAATTGCTAAGCCTACTTTATTAGCAATTTAATACTGAAATAAATAATTTTGAAGTGAAGTGAAGAGTTTTATTTTCTCTATTCTTCCACTAAACTACACATTTATCATCATAAACGGCTAAACTTCAGTTGGAGACGTATTTTAGCATCGAGAACTGCTACAAGTACAGACGACTTTGACGACATAGAACTATTAAGGTCGAGGTGAGTACCAACCTTAAATGCATTTAAGAAAAAAATGTTTGTACATTACCTAAATAAATATGTTTATTAAACTTTATTCGATGCGGCATCGAATCGCAATTCGATTCAGTGGTGATAAAAAAACGATTCAATTCATGAGGGAGTCAGTATCTATATACGAAAAACGCCTGCAGAAAGTCAACGCAATACCCGCAATACAGGAGCGCGTTGTTGTTGCGTTTCATGTGCGAAGGCGTTCTTATTCAATTAATTCTTTGCTTGTAAATATTGCTTTAAATGTTAAATATTTTTTTGTTTTGACATTGCAAATGATGAGAAGTTTTGTTAAGTGCAAGCAGTATGAGACATGTTTTACTACTGTAAACATAGCCAAAACAAATCACTCCAATATAATTCTAAAAATAACACAAGTCTGAAAAATTGTTACTTGATCTTTAACTTGTAAGATTGATGTTTTAGACTGATCAATTTTGTATTTTTGTAGGTTTGCTATGTATACCTTGCAGTTTTTAGGTCTGATTCTATTTTTACCAATGTAAACCAATTCAAAGTGTCAGTATAAATCTTGCAAATGTTTTTATTTGTTTACACCAAAACATATCTTTATTTGTAAAATTAATAGTACAAAATAAGCAAGTAAAGCAGCTCACTGACATTTCCAGCAATACAGGTTCTTCTATATAATAGGGGTCTGCGGGTCCCTGAATTTTTCGGGTCGGGTCAGCTGGGTCAGAGCTTTGTTAGGGCCAAGATCGGGTCGGACCAAAAAAAAAAATAATTTATTTTCAAAGTAACACTCTTACATTATATCTATTATTGCAGAGGAATTAACATTTTCAAATGAGAATTATATATTAAGTTGGCTCACGTTTAAGAATAAAAACACAACAGAACAACTTAGAACTGTCACTAGCCAGAGCCAGTCTTCTACTGACAAAAAGCCGTGATGCCCGTGATGCAACAGTGCAATGAAAACGAAGTCAAAAGAAAGACTATTTATCCAGAGGTACTAGTTTAATTATTTATTGTTTATTCCATACATAATTAAAAATATATCTTAGTATTTTACATAATAAATTATAAAGGATGTTTTTGGATAAAGAAATATATCTTTTTGTCTCTACTTCCTTGTTTTGTTATAGAATTTTGTCAGCAATTGGAGCAAAACCGGGTGGTGTAAGAGGGGAGAGGGAGGATCTATCACCTTGAATGCAACCCAAGCCTTGCTGGTGAGAGCGGGCCTTGGTGGCTGCGTTGCAAAGTTGGCATTTCATTCTCTTTTTCTTGCTTTAATATATTCTTCTATATAGTAGTTAAGAGTTCCTTTTTGGGTACCTAATTAATTGTGATATTGTTTGAATTGAGTTTATGGATTTTTAATTATTTTAATTTATTAGCTATCAAAATCAGTTGTTTTTAGGTTTTTATCTCTTGCAGTAGGTCTATCTATACTACTGTATGACATGATATGCAATTTGTACAGTCCTTTGTAATTAATTATACCAAATAAAAAAAATGAAAATGGGAAAGAATGTCTTTCTTGCAGTTGAGGCAATTCCCATGCTGTAAGTAAGATATGAACATGAAATAATATACGGTACATAAGTAATTTTTATTTTATTTTATTATCAAGTAAAATTAAACACAGATAAAAGTTAAAACAAAAAAATCTGGTACTAATGATTTTTTGGCCTCACCCGACCTGAACCAAAAAATTCTGACCCGCAAACCCCTAATATATGATTGAAAATAAATATTTTTTCACATAAAATTCATATATATGTATGAATGGGCCCAATACCACATCAACAAGCTTTGTATTACACAAATGTAAGAAATTTTAATTAGCCTATTGTGTTTTCACTCCATTGACAAGTAGAAAAATGCCGTATTGCTTCAAATCGATTTGCATAGATTCAAATCAAAAATCTTTTTAATAGAATCGTTGCTTGGAATCGAAAATTTGTTGCTGCTTCACACACCCCTTAACTTTATAAAAGTAAAATACACCCAAAATTTCCTTATCTAATATCAATTTGACCGGTCTCGAACATACGTTGTAAAACATAACTTGAAGTCAAATTTAATGGATTTTCTTCTTTGAATGTGTTGGTTGGAGTAGATTTGTAAAGGCCTATCCGTAACCCTAATTTCTCTTAAAGTTTCACTTATGTTTTTTTCGTCACAAAGCTATATGAATGATAAAACTACAAAAAACTTTTATTGAGAAAGGATTTTTTAAGGTTTGAGGTTAAACTATATTATTCGATGTATTACCATCTCATCCCATTTAAAATTTTGAAGTTTGTTTTTTGTGTCTAGTTCATGTCCGATGGCACTGATCGCTAGTGTCAACAAAATTTTGTTTATATTATTTTAATGTTAATTTCATGATTTGTGCTTTGTACTTAAAATGTGTGCTGCGTTTAAAAATCCCGCCAGTTGTGAGGTCAGTGATAAGTTTTTTTTTTTTCAAAAAACTTAAAACCAATAGACATTTATTGCCAAGTTTGTGAAGTTTACGGAAACAAAGTAATGAAGTAAAGTTCTGTGCGAAAATGGTGCATTCAGTTTAAAAATGGCCGAACTGACGTCCATGAGTCATGGCGAAACCAAGGGCGGACGCCCGAGCATTGTGACTGATGGAATTGTCGCTAAAGTTGATGAAAAGGGTTGCGAAAAACGCCGATTCACGATAACAGAGCTTTTGCTTTGATGTGTGATAATTTCAAACAACAATGTCCGTGTAACTTGAGGGAAACAAAGCAAAAACTCTGTTATCTTGAATCAGCGTTTTTAGCAAACCTTTTCATCAACTTTAGCGACCGACCAGTTTCATCAATCACAATGCTCGGGCGTCGGCCCTTGGTTTTGTCATGACTTGGAAACGCAGCACACATTTTAAGTTAAAATAGCAAAAAAACTGGCAAACCGAGGATATTCCCCTAGTCATGGCTGGATGCTGACTGAGTTGCAGAGTGCGCACACACCAAAATGTACGAGATCAGCAAAGCCCCTAGCGGCGTCAGAACGAAACGTTCCTTACTTTCTGAATAGCCCTTGTAACAAGAGGAAGAGGACGAGTTTGTTGTTTATGATTAGTTTGTTCTATTAGGTTAAACAAGGTCACTAAAATAACAAGAAACAAACTGTAAACAAAACACTACCCCTACAATGAACCAGGCAGAACTATCAATAAAAGTGGCTTCAGCTGTTCCATAATGATGAGAAATCAACCCATGGGAGTATGTTTTATCTATCTACAGTAGACTATTGCTCATCCGGACTAATCCTCCCCATTTAGCATCATTTTGAATTAAGTATCCCCCTAGACTGTAATTTGGAATTTGAGCAAACTGAACATTAGTTTCATTATAACCAAACTCAGATAGAACCAAAACATCGGGCTTGAGTTCATTGCAAAGCATTTCTATTTCTAGTGACTTGTTTGTGGCAACCTGTATGTTCTGGTGTACTAGTTTCAATGAGTTTCTTGAATGTAATGGAGTGTGATACTAACGTTCTGTGTTTCAGTGTAAAATTATGTCTGGCTGTAACATTCAGATATTAGGCTTTGTTTTCTAAAAAAATTTAATTGTTAAAATTGGAAGATAGAGTAAGGAATAAATGGATCAAAGGGAATTTTGAAGACAGCTTGATAAGAGAGTGGGAAAAGCAAGACTACGAAAGTTTAGACAGCTGAGAAGGATACAAGAAGGAAGAACACCAAGGAAAGCAGAGTTGATGATAAATGAAAGAGGGAACAAGACAAGAAGGGAAAGCATTGAAAATAGAAGTAGAGGTGATTAGACATGAGGAAAAGAGAGTAGTAAGATGGTAGTTGTAGAGCAGAGGAACCCTGACCTGGGATTAACTGAAACTGAAGAATACATGACTGTATGTTATTTTACAAAAGATAAAAAGCCACATAGTTTGCTGCAAGTTATGTAAACAAGATTCAGCTTTTTCATAGCATTAATATAAATTACAAGGTGAGTGGATACTTACTTGGTAATTGCTGGTACATCTGATTGTAGAGGATCATGAGGTCAAGCAACAAGTTGTGACCAATTAGAGGTTTCTTGAGGGCAACCAATAGTTTGAAGATTTTTGCAAATCCAGTTATGCTGTCAATCAACTCTAAGTCAAGCCGATCTCCCTCTAGTTCTTTGGCCTTTCTTATCTCTTCTCTCTTTAGTTTCTGAACTTGGATCTAGAAAAATTAAGTCAGTCAATTGGATATTCTTCAGCAGAGCATGCTACACTCAATTCCCGATTAACCATTTGGGTCCCCAAGTGCTGGTCACATGGGCACTACAATTTTATCTGAAAAGACCCGAGTGTCGATGTGATCGGCACTGCCATTACGATCAAAAAGTCCCAGGTGCCGAAGCCTATATATGTTTGGAAAAAACCCAAGTGCTGATGTCATCAGCTTTTCTTAAATCTACTACAGTAGAGTCCCGTTAGTCTGAAATGGTTGGGACCGGGCCCATTTCGGATTAAAAGTTTTTTTTTTGTTTTTTTTTTAATTTTGAAAAAAATTAAATTTTTTTTATTTTTTTTAATTTTTTTTCGTCTTAGGACGCAGGCACGAGCCCGGGATTGTTTTTCACATTACTTAAGGCTAGACATAGTGGCTGCAGCATTATCACTTACAGTAATAAAATCCATTTGTGATTTGGCGGACGAAAATGAAAAATGTTACAGTAATAAGAAAAATGGTGAAATATTTAATAAAATACTCTACAAAAAAGTCTATCTCACCCGGCCGCTACAGAATACGTTGCCAAGGTACAGCTAACTGTGTTAAAAGTTTAATAAAAAAACTAGAAAAAAATTTCAAAAGTTTCGAAAAATTTTAAAAAAAAACTTCAACAAATTTCAAACAAAATTCAAAAATTTCAAAAAATTTTCCAAATTTTAATTTTTTTTATAAAAAATTTATTTTTTTGGTTTCGGATTCACCGGACTTTTGGATTACCGAAGTTCGGATTATCGGGACTCCACTGTACAACAAAATTATTTATCAAGCTAATTCACGGAAAGATATATCAAACGAGAGCAAATTAAATTCTCTAAGCGAGTCATTTCAACAACACACTCAAAATGTACTTAATGTACTTTACTCTTGTAGCTTGAGAGTAAGAAGAACAACGAAATTTGTGTGGCGTTGACCGGTGTGTACAGCTGTTGCGCATCAAAACATTGACTTGATGTTGACCTTCACTTTGAATTACTAACGTTGTTTGTTGTTATTCGTCAGTTTATTCAGTGAATATTATTATGAAAAGAAGTAAAATTAGTTACTGTATAAACTATTGTTGCTAAAAGATTGTGTACGTACAGCACGTTTTTCAATTTGCTCTGGCATGGTCTTGAGTATTAGAAGTTTTGTCTGAACATTTGAACTAGGACTAACCTAACTTCTCTGTCCTCTGTTGTTTTATTTATTTTTAGAAGCTCTTATTACTCCAGACTAAGACTCTTCTCCTTACTTTTCACTAACACTTTTCCATTTGCATGGGCATGAACTTGTTTTTAGTGTGAATAAACATTAGGCTATATATCTTACCATTTGAATTAGGGTATACCTAGGCCTAACTCATGTAAAATAGTGTTAGTAAATAGTGTAACAATCTAATGACACAATCTATCAACATTTGTTGGTCAATGATGAAGAGATCAAGTATCCAAGTAAGTAAGTAAGTAACTTGAGATCTCTGTCCTTTGGTGTGAAGGTTTATTTACTTTATTTATTATGAGAGAACTTAACATTTTATGAAGTATAGCTACTTATAATTATCCTATAGGCCTATTTAGAATTGTATGGATCTGAAAGTTTTTATATAGCCTAGGCCTAGTTGAAAGTTCTAATTAAAATGAGTGAGAAAAAATCAAAAAGAAAACATTCCCCTGAAAGTTAACGTACACTTATTTCTAATGTACTAGAGTCCAGAGTAACTTTTATTGATGGAAATGAAAGTGATGATTCACTATTAGATATTTCCTCTTCTTCAAGTGATGAAGTAGACGACACCGATGAAGATCCCGACTACGACCCTAGTGGTAAAGAAGGACTTACCCTAACCGATATAGTTTTTTTATCTAACTTTAGGCAAAATGAAAGAAACGTGATCTCTGATAGTGACAGTGACGACCCTCTTTCTGTGCAGGATAGGACTGAATGTAATTTAAGTGTAAGTCAACCCTGTTCTACACCTAACAGTGAAGGTAATATTCTAGATCCTCATGATCCTATAGACGTACCTATTGATGAGCCAAGTACTTCTACAGGAAGGTCTCATGTTGTATCAGAGACCCTAAATAATAGGCCTAGGCAGAAGAAGAACCAGAACAGTAAAACTAGACGTAGGCCTACAACATGCCCAAATCCTAAATTAAAGTAAAAAAACAACCGGAAAGCCCAGAAAGTAGCGACTGGGAGGAGCTTGAATATGACACTGACCCTGAATATGACCACAACTTTGGATTCTCAGAATTACCCGGTCTAAAACATTGCCCGCCTAGAAATTCAAAGCCCATTGAATATTTCAACCTTTTTTTACAGTAAATCTACTAAATACCTTTGAAATTTAAACCAAAAGATATATGCTGGACAGTTTTTTCAGAAACAATCCTGTCATAAGAAATCGAATGAATGATTGGGTCCAGGGTTAGTTAAGGATAAATGAAAGTTTTCATAGCTATTGTGCTCAACATGGGCATTATTAGAAAACCCTCAATACAAAGTTACTCGTACACTTCTTCCTCTCAAAAATGTGATTGGTTTGGTAAAGTACTCAGCCAAAATCGGTTCCAAGCCATTTTGAAATGTTTCCATCTTACAGACTCAACCGCTCTACCACCACATAATTCCCCAAATTAAAACCCCTGTGGACGATTTCAACCTCTGATAGATCAAGCAAACCGCCTTTTTCATCATTGAGCGGAGCGAAGCGAAACGAGCGAAGCTCTTATATTACATCCCTGCTTTTGTTTTACAAATACTCCTAATGAACGGCTTAAGCGATCTGCATGAAATTTAGCACTTTCATAGTAACCAAACATGGGAATCTATAAATCTGAAATGGTACAAATCGGACCACAGGGCTTTTCCCCATGTGAATTTAAAGTATTTAAACTTTTATAAATTTAACATGGGCCTAATGGGTTAACTGGTTACCATGACATTATTTGGGAGATAACAATAAAAAGGTAAACAAGAGTCGCAACATATGTTAGTCAACAAGTCATCTAAAATAGCACATTACAAACACCGTACAGAGAAACAGGGAAGAACAATCGCATTAATATCATTGAGCATAATACCCAACAAAATGAATAACCAATAATTAGGGTTGCCGGAAAATATTCAATATTCAATTCTTCTTGGTTAATTTAGTAGACTTTTGGATAATACTATTAAATCACTGGATACTTGGCTCCCACATCCTTACTTCACCAAGGTTTTACCAAAAAGCACATTTCTTTTCATTTGTTGCAGGTTTACTTCAACAATGCAACCTTAACAAATGGTACATCTAGACCAGTGTTTCCCAACCGGTGTGCCGGTGGTGTGCCGGTAGGCCTCTTTAGGTGTGCCACGAAATTTTAAGTAGTTTTCTTTTTCTTCTTCCTTTTCTACTTCGTACATTTGTGAAGCTGCATTACCATCAATGAACGCAATCAAGACCAAAACCCGTTCTCAACTTAAGTTTTTGGAAGACGATACGAGAGTCTGCTTGTCAACCATTCGTCCAAGAATTAAACTTTTAATGAACAAACGTCAAGCACAAGTTTCCCACTAGAACTGAAACCAAGGTTTATTACATATTTCTCACTCATTATTGGTAAATTCATACAACATTTTAATCAAGCTCAATATTTATTATTATTCAAAACTTTCGATCTGTCGATGAATTTAAATGGCTTTCACACCTTTAGCACTTAAAAATCGAACTACAGCGTGCACTTCACAGTCGGCGGCAGTCTCAATTGGTGACACCATTTTGAATGCTCGAAACCGGATGTAAACATAGCCGATTGTTGCCGAATTTCCGGCTTGCCAATAGATGCATATACACAGCACAAATGTCAAAATTGCCAATCGCAGCGCCGGAACAGAAAAATTTTAAAACGGTACTTATTTAAAAAAACATGCCTCGTGTATTTTTACTAGTAAAAAACAGGTTTTACGGAGTAAGATGTAATTGAAAAAAAGAGTTTTTTATGCACTTACTAAATGTAATTTTATCCAACAATATTTTTGTAGACAAGTGTGCCGTGACTACAAACATGTTCTAGTTAGTGTGCCCTGAACGGAAAAAGGTTGGGAAACACTGATCTGAACAGTATACAGGGAATATTTATGACCTAGGCACTTGTATTTTTCATTTTTAATCATATTAAAAATTCTTGTTAATAATATTATATTATTTTTTTAATACAATATAAATATTTTTAATACGATTATTTGCCATGATTATTATTGTTAAAATCAGGGGTGCCTATAATGGGGGGGCTGTGAAGCAGACTGCGTCACTGAAATTCTTGGGAGGGAATGCAAAAAATTCAGGGGGGCTAAAGTTGATTGCTACAGTGTTCAACGTGACGACAATCAAATATATATTACGAAGTCACCAGATTGAAAGTCGATTAATTAATGACGATAGTTATAAATAGAATTTCATTTAGTTAAAATAGCTATGTTTAGGATTCGTGTAGGAAGTTCTTATTCAAGATTAGCAAGACGTGAGATCTAAGAGGGAGGGCATGGAATGGTTCAACTACTGAGATAGATAAAGATAATAACACGTGGCACAGACACAAGCTACACTGCCGACTCAGCACAGAACGCTTTGTTGAAAGGTTGTTAAAATACAATTAAGTAGCGTAGGCTACAATGCTTTACACTATTGTCCTGGAAGGGGGTTAGGCGTAAGGTTAACGTTACCCTGGAAATAAGCATTTGTTAGGAACCATTCAAATGAGCCTCGGACTGGATTAAAAGTTTTTAAGGGAACAGACCCGGCAAAGAGTTCAGAAAATGGATTTAAAATTATCTATGTAGAAACAATGTTTCAGCCAGGAAAAATTATGGAAATTGAAAATGAATTAGAAAAGTATAATATTGATGTGGCAGCGATAAAAGAATTGAGATGGCAAGGATGAGGAAGATTAGACAAAAATAATTTTACTGTATAATATAGT